ATATACGTATATATATATATATATATTTATATATATATGGGATATGGGAAAAGGTTATGGTGTTATATACGCACCACCACCTGATTAGCTGGTATACGTTGATGATTTGCCCACAGTGGTCGAAATGATATGATGTGATGCCCTCAGAGGCTTGATGATGTTATGAACACATGTACCTATGCACGACATGACATTCATACGCATATGCATGACACTATAAGTATTTCATGATTTACGGAGCTATCCAGACTTACAGGTTGAGTCATTTACTCTATGTTTCTTCCATGTCCTTAATTAATATTGACTTACTATTATGTTTCAGCTCCGCCTTACATACTCGGTACATTATTCGTACTGACGTCCTTTTGTTGGGGACGTTGCATTCATGCCTGCAGGTATTGACAATCAGTTTGACGAGCCCTCATAGTAGACGAGGTTTGCATTCAGCGAAGGATCGGTAAGACTCCACCTCATTCGGAGTGCAGCCGAGTCTGTGAGTCATCGTGTCAGAGTTTTTCTTGCAGACTTATGAGTAGGCCGGTACCCTGTCTCATTTGATGTCAAACAATCTTAGAGGCTTTGTAGATAGAGGTTCAGTTTGTACAGTATGTTAGAGACCTTGACGGCTCATATGTATTCATGTTTTAAGAAAAATAGTTCAGTGAACTTCAACAAAAGTAGAAGATTGGAGAGAAGTGCTCCAATACAATAAAAGTAGTATACAACTTTGAATTACGAGAGATTGCTGGAAAACTATTTCAGAGTTGTAGTAGAAAATTTAAATTTTTAGGATTTGTTATTTGCTAGTTTATTTAATTCATATCTAAATAGGATTTGTAGTAAGAATTAATATAGGAATAGGCTTTCATATTTTTAGTTGAAATAAGTTTCGTACTATTATAAATTAGGGTATTAGTAGCTTATTTTATGTGTGGGAAATTGTGAAAAGTATTATGAGAAGAATACAGAGCTTTCAATGATTTAATACAATAATTTTCCTTTATTGAACTTTTTATTCATTTTCTCATACTAAAAAAATCATCGAGCATTTGCTTTGTGAATATGCTATATATTTCAAAATTCTAATATCCCTAACATCATGAATCAAGAGTCGAATTTATACAACTTGGAGGCAACTCCGTGCCGGTGGCAGTCCCGTTGGCATTATCACATGACGAGATAGCGGGTCCACCCGCGCCATTGTATACCAAATTGATTTCTGTAAGGTTGATTCCCTGGCAAGGAAATGAAGCACTGCAATTCAAAGTAACAGCTGCCACTGAACTCGAAGTTCCTCTTATGTTATTGAATGTCACGTCCTTGATTTGCACTGAGCTCGCCTACAAAACAAAGGAAAGTGTTGCCATCATGTGATATAAAGAATATCCAACTGAACATTTTCGTTTTTGATGTGACGTAAGATATTTTGTAGAAAAATATTTTTCATGAGATAGTCTTTTTTTTTCTTTTTGTGTGTTTGGAATACTAAAATTATGTTTTTGATCCAAGAAAACATTTTTCATCAAAAGGGAAAAAAGGAGTTCCGTCACTTATGGCGGAAGTCATTCTTTTTATAACTATTTTAAACTTTAAGTTATAGTATTTGCTCTAATTGATACTTAGATATTATTATTAAGCTTTTGTACTCAAGAATTTCATCAAAATATTTTTTGATTTGCTAATATATTCTTAATTTTAATATATATAAATTTATTGGATAATGCTGTGTGCTTAACAACCAAAGACATGTAAATATTATTCCGCAAAATAATTTCTGTCAAAGCAAAGATGGTCTCTCCTTTTTTAGAAACAAAACTCTTCTCTTTTTCTTATCCTGTTCTGTTTCCTTCTCCTTTTACTTTTTGTTTAAGTTTATTTGTGACAAATTAATGAGAAACTATCAATATTATGGAACACACTTGTAAACAATTTATAGTAAGAACTAAGAAATAAAATATTAAGAAAAAGACCTTAGAGAAAGAAAAGAAAGCTAGTGACATTTTAGGTTTACTTTCCCAGATTTGACATCATCATTTTTTCTACTTTTCATTAGATTTTTTATTTTATGGGTTTTCCATTCAAGTTCACATAGGCAAAATACTTAAATCACTCTTAAACTTGACTCAGATTATTAGTAACCTCCCCGAACTATGTCTGATCTTAATTACATCCCTTAACTTGGCCTTTTGAGAGCCATTACCCCCTAGATGTTGATGTGGCAAAAAGTGTGAATGCACTCACCTGCCACGTGAATTTTTCTGTCTATGTGGCATTTTTTTTGAAAAAATAAAATATTTTTTTTTCACCTTTTTAAGAATATTACTTTTTAGATAAAAAAATTTTAAATACAATTTATATAAAACTTGGATAGAACTACGTTATTTAGGCTAAATATTTTTTATTTGGCCAAAATAATAAAATTTTAGTTAATCTTTTCTTGAATTTGACCTAAAAATAAAGATTTATACAATTGAAATAAATAGTCAAGGCATCTAAAAAGTTATAAAAAATACATAGTTTGAAATTAATTATTTTGACTATAATTTTTTATATAGCTCTAAATTACGGTGCTCTATTTTTTTTTATACAAATTTTACCTAAAAAAAATAAAAATACACAATTGAAATAAATAGTCATTGCGTCAAAAGAAGAAATAAAAAGAGTGTGCAATTGCAAGAAATTACAAGTGCAATTGTACGCTCTTTTTATTTCTTCTTTTGATGCAATGACTATTTATTTCAACTATGTATTTTTTATAACTTTTAAGATGCATTGACTATTTACTTCAATTGTATAAATCTTTATTTTCAGGTCAAATTCAAAAAAAGATTAACTAAAACTTTATTATTTTGGCCAAATAAAAATATTTAGCCTAAATAATGTAGTTCTATCCAAGTTTTGTTATAAATTGTATTTAAAAAAAATTATGTAAAAAAGTAATATTCTTAAAAAGGTAAAAAAAATATTTTATTTTTCAAAACAATGCCACATAGACAGAAAAATCCACGTGGCATGTGAGTGCACCCACACTTTTTGCCACATCAGCGTCTAGGGGGATAATGTCTCTCAAAATGCCGAGTTGAGGGGGGTAATTAAGACCGTGCATAGTTCGGAGAGGATACTAATAATCTGAGCCAAGTTTAGGAGTGATTTAAGGTATTTTGTCAGTTCACATATATTAATCTACATGAGTTTAAATGAGTTTTCAATATTTAATTTGAAATGCTCTCACAAATTCGTTAATTTTTATATAGGATCTAAAATTATATATACTATTTGAGAATAATCATGAGAATTGGTAAAATCATATAAATATGGCAGATTAGTATATGCATTATTTGTACAAAGAAATAATAACATAATTATTTAATTATATTTTAATTTTTTAAAACCACGCGAAGCGGGGACAATTACACTAGTGTTAAATATAAAGATGGAGAAAAGGACAATGCAAGTACCTCACTGCTGCAAGGAGGCGATGGACAATAATGTTGATCGATAATGATAGGATTTCTAACATTATCCATGAAAATATCCTCAAAATTTATATTTGTGGCACTACCAGACTCCGATGGTGCCCAAGTCTTAATCCTGGCGCCATTTTGAGTAGCAATGAGAGTGCAATTTTTGACATGTATGTCTGTGACGACTTCATTTTGTGTCTTCCCTAAGCTTCCGATGCTTATTCCATGGCCAGGGCCACAAGTGATCCCTGAAATGTTGATGCTTTGGCTGCCGTTGATCATAGATATACAATCGTCTCCAGTGCCAATGTTTGAATCCGAAACTTGGATGTTGGTGGAGACGCCCATGTGAATGCCATCGGTGTTAGGGCTGTCGCCCGGTGCGGTTAGGTTAACATGACTAAATGTCACGTTATTGCACCTAAAGAGGTCGAAATGGAAACTCTTGCTATTGATTGAGTTTATGTCGTGCACCGTCGCATTTTCGATAAAATCTAATTTGAGTGTCTGGTTCAAGTTTAAAAAAATAAGGCATAGAAAGACAATATTAAATTTTTAATAACTTCACATTATAATCACAAAAAGAAATATTTTGTAACCACGTAAATGGTGAAAGAAATTTTGAAATGTCACTATTTTTTAAATCGCTATACTTCTATGATTGAGTAATGCCGTAAATGCACTTTTACGGCAAAACTGGATTTAGTCAAATTATCGATATGCCAAATATACAAATAAGTTTATTCAGAATAAAAATATATCAGAATAAATTAGACAAAAATGACAAATAACATAAAATTTATGCAAAATTAAACTTACAATAGGAAGGGTTGGGCAATTAGAATTCTTGGAAGTATCAAAATAAGGCCAAGCTGAAGCCCCTTGTCCATCTAAAGTTCCGCCTCCTTCAATCTCTAAGCCATTCACATACTGAATGGAAATCCAAGTCGTATTGCAGAATAGAGAAGGATCTGTTGGAGCTTTAACAACTCCTTGGATTTGGAAGGTCATGGATCCACTACATGGTCCGATAAAATTTGCAGCATATACCATGTATTCCCCTGAAGGTATCAAGAATTTGGCTGTTCCATTCCATTGGCATGCATCCTTCCAAGTACTCAAGAATGCCTTCCAAAATAAATCAATAATTAAAAAATAGAGACTTAAATAGATGATTTAGACACTGAATTTTCATTTAGAAATCCGGTAATTAACGACCACAAAAACCGATCAACATTGGTTGGTTTTGGCAAATTACCGATCAAAACACGTCCAAACACGCTTGGTCGCAAAGGTAAAAGGACCAAGGTTGGTCAAAAAAAAAAACAACCAAAGTTGGTCGGTATTTTAATTATGTAATCAAAAGATTTACCATCTGGGAATCGAACCAAGGTGTGTACTCTGGCAGGATACTATTCTATCACTAAACCATTGGTGCATTTTGTTATAAGATTGTCTTATTTTTTATTTATACTCTTTAATTGTATTTTCGCATGAAAATAACCTACCAAAGTTGGTCGGTTTTATTTAAAAATAAAATTACCGACCAAAGTTGTTCGGTTTTTTAAAATGACTGGCCGAATTTACCGACCAAAGTTGGTTGGTTTTTTTAATATTAATTTTTATTTATTTTAATTGCAAATACCCATCAAAGTTGGTCGGTTTCTTGAAAAATAAATTTTGCAGGACTCAAAAATCGTTTCCTTCATTTTTGCGCCAAAGAAAACCGACCAAAATTGGTTGGTTTCGTAAAAAAAGAAAAATTAAAAATTAAAATATTTTGAAAAACCGATCAACTTTGATCGGTTTTTAACTGGTTTTTTGACCGACGAAAATTGATCGATTTTTCTTGACCGATTTTTGTCGAATTTCTAGTAGTGTATACAATGACCATTATATGTAGCCATGTTGCCAAAAAGGGCAACACTAGACATGTAATAATGACTTTTGAATAACGATATAATCTTTTTCTTTTCTTATTTTTGGGATAGTTATACCGACTTTCTTTTTTTATCCCTCCCAAAATCTTTTCACTTTGCTCCATTTATGACCCATACCCATAATCTGATGGTTAGAAGTGGAGGGTGCTTACCATTTAAGTAACCTTCTCTTCTCTTATACCTCATGTTTCAGCATGTAACACATACATTCCTTATGATTTTAGATATGAAGTAAAACTCCTTTCTATAAAGTTTTGTGCAACAAAACACAATATATACTTAACTCTTCAAGTGGAAAGTTCACCTTTTAATTAAGCTTTAACTCTATTGTTTTCGTGTAATAAAACTCTAACCGCACATTCTATTAAAATAATGATCTAATCGTACTATTTGCGTACTTGCAAACATAAAAAATTCATATGAAACATAAGCTAACATTACACATAAGGAAAAACTTGTCTATTTGGGAATTATAATATTTTTTATGCCAAATATGAAAGGAAGTGTGGTAAGATATAGTTTTACTCGTGTGACGATATGACTTTGTTAATATTCTCATCCGTCTAGAATTTGTGCAAGAATTAATACGATAGACACATTTAAAGTTAAAATGGCTGGTTCTCACCTTACTATTATCTGTCTTTCCATCTGCTATAGCACCATAGGATTGGACATTGAAGAGATTCTCCTCTGCACTACTGCACCCAAGAATAAGGTATAATACAAAGGCTATTCCGAAACTAGAAATGAACGCCATTTATTTATTTGGTTTCTTTTTACTTTCTTCATCACTTGTCTTTATATACAACTCCAATTTCCTCATACTTTCAAATGATTATTCATTCATTAATTTTTTACCTTAGTAGTCTTGCATTTAGAAGAATATCATAAAAAAAAAATTTGTTTCTATTACACTAAGAGATTTCTTTAGATGTAATGGATTAATAAGCAAGGAAAGTGAATCGATATCTTGAATGAATATCCTGGTAAGTTTATTAAACCGCCAGCTAGACTTATGAGATCCATTTAGGTTATTCCTTTACAAGAGGATATTCTAGTAACCGAAAAAGATTATAGTTAAAGTCAAGTGAGACGTGAAAGCTTTACATTATTTTTAAATCAACTCAGAATGAATATCTTGAATAATGCCAAGATTCATCCGAAGCAAATTATCACATCAATAATGCTGGAGAGATTTCCCTTACAAAATATATTTTCTTTTAATCGAAAATGTGGAAAGTGTAACGACCCGACCGGTCGGTTTGAATAAGTACAACCTCGTCTCTCCATATACTGCTAAATTCATGCTTCACGGTTCTTATGTAACTTGCCGGGGGAATTGGTTCGGGTTCGGAAAGGTTTTTAAAAAGAATTGAGACACTTAGTCTCCAAGAAGAGAGATTAAGTTGAATTAAATTGACCGGAAGGTGAAATATGAGTAAACGAATCCGGAATGGATTTTTTTTATTATTCCAATAGTTTTGTATGGTGATTTTGGATTTAGGAGCGCGCCTGGAAAATTATTTGGAAGTCCATAAGACAATTCAGCGCATTTTGGCAAAGTAAGAAAGTTGACGTGATCAAATTATATTATTTTATATGTAGAAGAGGTCTATTACCGTGATGGATATCAATTAGATGTGATAGCAAGTGTACGAGGCGTACTATAAGATATATGGGGTCTAAGGAAAGTCCTAAGTCTAAGCCAAGTTGGAAAATTTCATAATACACTAAAGTTGCAAATGAGTACGCACAAGACCTCACTTTAGACGATCATATCTACATATATATAAAGAACTATGGGATGGACAACCTGTCAAATGAATGATATTCAAGTCTAGTTTCTAACGCTTCAAACCGTTCGTCATTTGGACACTTCTACAAGAAATTATGATCAAATTACCGAAGGCTGGCAGAAACTTGCACTACCGCGGGGTCCCATGCGGCGCCCCGTGCGGCGCGCCTGTGGGGAAATTTAGAGAGCATTAGAAAACATTTTCTGAGCACATTTTTCACAGCCGCGGTGCCCCTTGCGGCGCCTCACGCGGTGCGGCTGTACAAAAACGGGTTTTTCTGACCCGACCCCTATTTTATTTAACTCGTTTAGGGTTCATATTTTTGGGTATTTTCTAGTGTTTTAGAGTGAGGAGAGAGAGTTTCTAGAGAGAGGAAGAAGCATAAGTGTTTTGGTTCATCAAAATTTTGTCCAAACCTTGAAATCCCTCAAGTTCTTCATCAAAGAGGTAAGAATTTCTTTTTCTCCAATTCTTCAATTTCGAAATCTAACTAGAAATGGGTAATTAGTAAGATGATTCAAGGATGTTTGAGTATTAGTTATACATGCTTGTAACAATAAGGTTATGGGAAGATTGTTGAGTTCAATTAGGTAAAGATTGGATTAAAAATGGTAGAAATCTTCAAAACTTTAATTGAGGATTTGAAAGGCAATCCGATGTCGGAATTCGATAATTTTTGTATGGGTGAACTCGTATCGAAACGAGTATTCGGATTTCGTAAGTTTTTTTGGGATTCATGATGTGGGTCCCGCTATTGAATTTTAAAATAAATTTCGGATTTTATCCGGAATATTAGTAATTTCATATGGAATTAATTCGTACGATTTATATTGAGTATATTGAATTATTATGACTAGATTTGAAGATTCAGACGAATTCGCGAGGCAAAGACTTGTTGGAATTTTGAATTGGTTGCAAAGCGAGGTAAGTATTTGGTCTATCCTTAGCTTGAGGGATTAGGAGTTGTGTCCTATTTGTTATATGTTATTTGTTGAGTACGACGTATAGGCATGATGACGAGTTCTATACGTTGGTATCAAGCATGCTCGTGAGTCTTATGTTATAAATTGTTATGACTCCGTTGTATTTTATTGTGCCTCACATGTTATTATCATCATTGTTCTTTTGCCGGGATGTTTGTTTGATATTATTGTTCCCTTGCCGGAATATTGTTGAGATATCATTGTTCCCTTGCTGGGATGTTTGTTTTGATATTAATGTTCCCTTGCCGGGATGTTTGTTTATTGTTCTTGTTCCCTTGCCGGGATGTTTGTTTGATATTATTGTTCCTTGCCGGGATATTGTTGAGATATCATTGTTCCCTTGCCGGGATGTTTGTTTATTGTTCTTGTTCCCTTGCCGGGATGTTTGTTTTGATATTAATGTTCCCTTGCCGAGATGTTTGTTTATTGTTCTTGTTCCCTTGTCGGGATTCTTTGTGATTATTATCGACTTGTAAATGGGAGCGAGTAGTACGCCTACCACAAGATATAATGAAATGGGAGCGGGTGGTACGCCTACCCCAAGATATAATAAAATGGGAGCGGGTGGTAGGCCTACCACAATATAAATGAAATGGGAGCGGGTGATACGCCTACCACAAGATATAATGAAATGGGAGCGGGCGGTACGCCTACCACAATATAAATGAAATGGGAGAGGGTGGTACGCCTACCAAAAGATATAATGAAATAGGAGCGGGTGGTACGCCCACTACAAGATAGATGAGAAGGGAGTGGGTGGTACGCCTACCACAAGATAGATGAAATGGGAGCGGGTGGCACGCCTGCCGCAAGACATGAGAAATGGGTTCGGGTTGCACGCCTGCAACAAGATGTTATCTAAAAGTGAAATTTGCCTTTGTTTTCCTTATTCTTGTTAGTGGTTGGATTTTGATTCCTTTATAATGGTGATGTCGTGCACTTTCTACTGCTGTGTTTATTTGTTGTTATCAATTCAAGTGTTTAAACTGTTTGAATTCCTTTACTGTTGTGATCCTTCGTGTTAGAACCTACAGTGTTTGCAATATCTCACCGCATTTATACATATATATACATTCCAATATGTCAAACTTCAATAATTGTTACATCCTTAATTCAATTAGTTTCTCAATTATATCCCCTTAAACCGTTTGAGGTTGTATTTTACTTAAAAGAGAATTTCTACTATGTTTTGATTTATTGATTTCTCGTATTAAAAGTAATAATTCATTTGATATTGTACTTTAATTGAAAAGGGTATTTTCTTTATCAAATGATTTCTAAAAATAACTTCATCTCTTCTTGTTGATTTCCTATTTGGGTTGGAAGCTGTACTCTATATTATGTTAAGTGAATGAGGCTCCTTGAACATTTTTAATTGTATTGGGTTATGGAACCTTTGAACTGAGTAATATGAGGATATTATTGTGCAATTTGAAATAGAAATATGTGGGCACGAGGTGCCGTGAAAATTTAAAAGTGGGCTGAGACCTATATTATTTATGATTATGAAACTAGGCATCACAAGGTGTCCTTTACTCAAAAGAATTATATTCGAAAAATGCTTACTTGGAAGATACTTATTTGAAGGAAATATATTCGAAATATATTTATTGAAAAGCATATTATCTTAGAGATTATTACTTGAAAGATTTATAGGCGAAAGATTTATATTTGAACGACTCGATTAATTGATTGCACTTGTATTTATTATTTGTTGAGAAGCATTTATGGTGTTCTTGTCGCCTACTATTTATATCACTGGTTGATCATTGTTTCCATCATTGTTATCTGCTTCCTATTATTTTGTACACTATATTGTATAGGTTTATTTGGTAGTCTGGTCCTAGCCTCGTCACTACTTCGCCGAGGTTAGGTTAGGCACTTACTAGCACATGGGGTCGGTTGTGCTGATACTACACTCTGCACTCTTTTGTGCAGATCCCAGTGCTATAGATTTCGGACCGTAGTGAGATTGTTGTATCTTGTTCATCAGGCGACCTGAGGTAGTCCTGCAGGCGTCCGCAGGCCTTGGCGTCTCATTCTATCTACTATTCATATTTCTTTCATGTATTTCCAGAGATAGTGTTGTATTTATTTCTTTCAAACCTTTATTTGTAGTACTCCTAGACAGTCTGTGAAGTTGTGACACCAATATTGGATAGATTTGTTATGGATTGGTAATAGCTGTATTATTAAAACTTTACAATGCAGCCTTCCGCTTATTCAATTATGTTGTTATCTAATTGTTGGCTCTTAACTGTTATCGGATTAAAAATGAAAACAAGGTAGATAATTCAGTTGGTTGGCTTGCCTAGCTTTCACTAGTAGGCACCATCACGACTCCCGAGGGCGGGAAATCTGGGTCGTGATAAGTTGGTATCAGAGCTCTATGTTCATAGGTGCTACAAGTCATAAGTGAGTTTAGTAGAGTATTGCGGATCGGTACGGAGACGTCTATACTTATCTTCAAGAGGCTACGAAACTAGTAGGAAAAATTTACACTTCATTCATTCCTTATCATGCGGCATTATTTCAGCTTGAAGCATATATCTTATGTTCTTTTGCATCCACTCAAATATGGAATTGCGCACTATGCCAATGGTTTGTGATACCATAAAAGGTTTATAAGAGAGCCAGAGTTTCACAACCATTGTTACCACGTGTTGTTCAGAATCGAGGTTATGGAAGTGCAGAGAGATATTTCAGTTGTGCGCATGGGAGTGCATCAGATTTTGACATATGGTTAAAATGTACAATCTTAAGAAAGTTTAATTGGTTACGTAATCATCACAAATGGATGTAGATCTAAAGATAGTTAGTGGTATTAGAGACTATGTGGTTCGTATGGGATTTCTAATTAGCGAAGAGTACATACTAGCAGCCAAGACACTGGAAGAAGTGAGTTTAACTGTCATGAGGATGACAAGCGCCAAATAGATGGCTTGAGGTGTCTTATGACTGGTGTCGTACGAGCGGTG